CCAATCGATCGTGATCGACCGGTTGATCACAAGCCTGTTTGAAGTTGATCACACTACTGTACCTGTTAATAATTCATCCTTCAAAAGTTGTCATGCAAATAGCTGCAATAGCATATCCAAGTACTCATTATACTTGGATTATTATATTTCTCTTTTTTTCTGAGAATAAGTTATATCTATATTCACAATGATGTTACACTGTTACAGTTACATTTATGGAATATGTTTGAATCTTAGGCTGGTAGATCACATAAGGGTAACTGTAGAGAAAGTAGATCATATCTCACAAAAGGTTGGCCACCCCTGCTATATGATATATTGTAATTTTCCTCAGCTGATAAACTTTACATAAAATACTTAAATGCAGGCAATAGCTAGATGTATTTTTACATTCTTTATCAGAAATATAAAAAAAATAGAGTTGTACTACAAATAAGAAAAGCCCCTGCCTTTTATGATCACATATTTTATTTTCTTTGACCACAAAATATTGTGTCCCTCTCCATGTTAAAACATTAAAACTTTGGAACAGCAACTTTGCATACAGTAATGTAGTAAGGCAAACTTCACTGTATAAAAAAGGAAAACCAACACTAGTAACACCAGCACGAAGTGACAGTAATATTCATTACAGCAGGTATATATGCCAATGGACTAGTCTTCTAATAAACAAAACTTATATGAACCCTGTAATCTTTGTTGGTACTCTATCAAAGCATGGCGGGTGGAAAACTCATCTCAATTTATGTTCAAGTAAATATTTATTCCTTCAAACACTCACACATGCATTTACGTTCAGCATGTTGAGCATGTTTTTTGCCAGCAGAGCCAAACTTTACAATTTAGTGTACTATAAGCAATGTGGACCCATCATATCAAAGACAAAATGATGAATAATATATTAGCTGGCCTTTGCAATAAAAAGGTAGAGGAACTAACTAAAGTATTGTGAAAATCAACTAAAATTACACATACTCTTCTCTATCAGGGAAAGAAATATTGAATCACAAAGAATAGTAAATTCTTGTTTTATTTTTTTCCTTGCATTTTTTTTTTTAAACAGTAGTCAAGCATTATCTCACATTATGAAGCAAACTAATCTTTGTGAGATATGAATGGAAAAAACAATATCATACTGATTACATTACACTTCAACCCAAAATAATTACTGCTGACCATATCTAACATTCAAGTTGAAAAGATTCTGAATGCTTGAACGCTACATTTCATCAAGAAATCATCATAATTAAAACAATGTTTTTTTCAGTTCAATCCTCAGAAGGACATGCACAAACCTCCTGTATAAAACAAATGCTTGGTTATTCTTATGATTGTTGTTCAGAACCTTTTGATACTATGAAAAAATCTCATGTAAAATCCATTTATCCTTTTGTAAAAATTCTATCTTGAAGCAGTTTGTTTCTCATAAAAAAAAAAAAATTCTCTCTAAACTTGAAAGATGATTATTGGTAAACAAGTACGGCTCCATAACATGAAATCCATGAAATCTAAACTTCCAAAAAGTTTCTTTTGTGGAAAGCATTTTTGGGGAGGCATTTTTTAAACACAACAGAGTGCTTGCCATTTGCTTCAGGCCCACTAATGAACACTAATATACCTTTCTATGAATCTCTACTTATAAAAGGAACCATCCCGAAAAATGCATACTTTTCTCTATTCTACTTCAGCATAAAAAATTTATTGTTTTTGAATAATATAGAGTACATAATTGTGCTTCATCTCATATACAATCTTAACCTCACCGCCCCAAAAAAGTAAAAAAAAAAAAGTAAAAAAAAAACATCTCAACCCTAAAGCCATATAAAAAGCATGAAAACTAGAAAAGTTATGTGTTCCTAACGCTGTGTAAACAAACAACTGATATGGCATTCTATATTTTGGACACTTGCCAAAGTCCTTCATCTCTGTTTTTTTTTTTGGCTAAATCTAATGATGTTATATTTATATATTAAAAAAAATAATAATAATAAATAAATAAATAAATAAATAATAATAATAAGTAATAATAATTTAGTGTACTTTACAATGCAATGATTACCAAGTCAATCTAAATTATCATTCTCAATAGGGACGCTATTCTGTAAAGGCATGTCTCGTTTTTTGTTTGTTTTTGGATACAGTAATATTTATGAAAGTTTAACAAAAGCAAAATTTGCGTATTTATGGTACCTAGCACCTATGGTAATGTCTAAACATAATATTTCTCATTGATAATGCATGAAAAGAATGCGATAGCAATGTGATCAACTTTAGACATAGAATGCGCATACAAGCGAGTTCAAAATTCCATACAGTTTTTATTTCAGAGCCGGTATTACTGTGTACTATCATCTTCAACATGAAATAATCTGTATCTCACTTATATCTCCAAAGTTCAAGAAGCCGACTTTTAGGTGCTTTTTGTATTGAAATGCTCTTTACAGCGGAAACAACCAATTTCAAATCAAATCAAATTTACCAATGCTGTGATGTACCAACCGTTGAGCAAAGTCTAACGGAAATATTTCAATCCTTACTTATACAGCTATTTTCAAACACAAGTGCTTTATACTCGGTATACATGCTGATCCCTTCGTAAGCTGCAACATATTACCAGGGAGTCTCGATGGAAGCATATTTCATGTGTAAAAGTTCACAAATTTTCATCATAAATCAATGATATCTATTTTTTCTAATATTGGTATAAAAGTGTTCTTTGAACATTCACGAACTCATATCTATGCGCACTGTCATTATCAAATGCCGTATGCACGATTACAACAAGCAAAAGTCAAAATACGTGTACCCGGGCGCACATTAGCAGTATATCTCCCGATGTATTTAGTGGATCTCGAGTGTGCCGCCCAAGAACTAATCATAGCTGGGCTTTAATAGTCGTTCGGTAGTATCCTCTTTCATGTACCTATACAATACACTAACTCAATTTGACCCAAAAATTTCCAACCCCTGGGACGGTCCCCTTAATGTGCTCTCTGCCATAAAATTAAAATATTCAAAGTATATCATTTCTATATTGGTGGTAGATATTACATATACTTTCCATTTTGAAACATATTTAGCAGTATGATCCTTCACAGATAGCTTAAAGATATACTTTACCCACTTCCATTAGCAACAAGATTATAAAAGGCAACTCCACAATACATTAGAGAAATTCAGGTTTCTAAAGCCACAGTTACAATCATAAGAAAAATACAATATGGTATATCTTATAACACATTGTTTAATCAGACAAATGGCTACCTGCAATGTACCATAAACACAGCAAATAACATCAAGAGGAATATTCATTTAATAAAACACTGATCCCCTGCATATATAGCTGAGCATACAATATGCTGTAAAGTAACACAAAATACAAAATAAGCTGAAAAGCAAAATGAGCAATATTTAGTATCAAATCAAAATAATAACAAGGTTGAAAGTTTTGACTTTACCATTGTGGTACTTTAAGACAAGTTCTGGGGATGCCAAGTAATACTGGTCACACAAGAAGCGCGCATTGGCATAGGCATCTTCTATCACACGAACAACATCACAGTTGGGATCTATACATCCAATGTGGTTGTGAGAGTTGACACTTTCTCCAAACAGCATTGCTGAAATGTAAAAAATATTTGGTGGTATGTTGCAAATGCATTAAGCAAAAAATATCAATAACTGAAGCAATAACACAAAAGTACCGTGTTTTCTTATCAAATACTATGTTGTAATGTATGCTGAAAAACTGAACAACTGAGCAACAATCAACCTTCAGATTAAGGTTGTCCTTAAAAATTTTACAGAGTAACTAAATCAACAATCTCTCACTATCTACCCATGCCTATGCAACCATTTTTCTATTACTTTCCATAAAATCTGAATAGTTCTTGGAAGTGTCCTAAATTTCTTGAAATCCTAGACAATTTGTGTTTTGCTTAATGCAATAATAAAATATAGAACATACATATCTACATGAATCATGCCGTGATTCAAACTTCCTCTCTATGCTCATGCTTAGAGGTGTCCCTAAAGGCATTTCAATGACACAATATGGCTCATGATCATCACAGAATAAGAAAAAATATACAAAACAAAGGTCTGTTTTAAACTTACTGTGCTGGTTGATGAGCATACGTATAGAAATGCGATTCATGTAAAATCTATCAAGGAAGTACTGTATGTTAGCTTCCACATTGGCATTAATAGCATGTGCCTCTTTAAGCTCCATCACTCCCTGAGCCATTGTCATGACTACATCCTGGTGGCGATTTCGTATCTTTATCAACGCATCAGTGAACCTGTTGAAATTAGGATGAATTCAGGTAAGTCAAACAATCCAATTATATCTGCAAGGTGAATAATTGAAGAGAAGCTTTAAAGTGACGTAATTCTGCGGACCAAACAAGGATTAAGACAACATGGAAAGGTTGTACAACAAAAACAATAATAACAAAGTAAATTTAAATGCCCACAGAACTAATATGCAGAGGAGCCCAGGAGTCTGCAAAGTGGAGGGTTTGGTACAGAGGGCATAACCCATTCATGAAAAAAAATCATACCTTTAACTGAAAGAAATCAGCAATATGTCTTTTCATCCTGGAGTATTCCATGAATTACAAATCTGACACTGAAAAGGACACAGCAACTTACCTCCACCAAACTGAACCTTCCAACTAATGTTCTTCAAAACAATATATAAATGTCCTTTAATCAAAAAACAAATGAAAAACCAAATCAACAAACAAAATACACAGTAAGAAAAAAGAAAGAACAAAAATATACATACTTATCCAAGATCTTTGAGTCATTGCAGTCCCCTTTCTCGAATTCCAAAAGATCAACAAAACTCATTCGGTAGAGGTCGCTGACAGCACAGACAGACGGCATATGCAGCAGGTGTTCTGGCAGCAACTTGATCTCCTTCATGATATTGGCCAAGCGTACTGGAAGCTCCTTTCGCAGAAACAGATAAGACTCGCTATTGGTTGCATTCTGAC